TTCAGGCCAAATAAAATTATTAGTTTCATGTCTGGGATATGAAATTATTATATTTGGTGAGGGGATCTATTTGTTATTTATACTATCCTGTGTGCTAATGGTGAACATGCTGTTAAATAATTTAACAAAACTGTGTTTTTTTATGAAAACAAAAATGTAAAATGATTCTTTTTTAATGTATTTTACCATTTGTTTCCACCTTCTCCTAGACTTTGACAAATAACCTTTCAGATCGTCATTGTTTGTTTGTTTTTGGTTTTTTTTCATGGGAAATTTTTTTTTTTTAAATAGCAATAAGTAATTTTGTTAAGAGGCTTCAAAATTTGATGAGGACGAGGACGTGAAAATGACAATTAATTTTATTTGACTTTAAGCTGTCTTTGTTGGCCTAATAAACTTAATTAAGATTAAATATATAATTCAATATTTGAATAGCTTAGTTTGTAAGATAGGCAAGACTTTTCTTATACCTAGCTTTGTGTACCTACGTGACCTGCCAATAATAATTATTTTGAATCAAAAATTTTTATTTTTTGTTTGTTTTATTAGCATACCCGCCACCACAAAAAATAGAAATTTCAGGTAAAAATAGAAGTTTTTCTTTAATTTTATTACGCCCACCACTGCCTTGAAATCTCAAAAAAAAAGATATGTACAGTATATTTTAGCAAAATTATTTGCTAAAAAAAAACCTGTTTTTTCCCCGCGATTATCTGACAGTCTTAAAAAATAGGATCGCGAAACAAGGTAATGAAATAGTTAAAATTAAATAATACTGTTCCTATAACAAAAAATAAGTATTGCTGTTGCGATTTATTAAAAAACCTTTTCCTATATTCTTTGCATTAGCCAATTTAATGAGTTATTCATAAACCCTTAAATTGGCTGGTAATGTTAGCCTAATGTTTTATGTAAATTGTCTTTAAAATCAATTATTTTGACCTGTGTACCATTGAAAGTAATTATTTAAATTCTTATTTTATTATTAATTTTGACACTCAGAATTCTGGATTGATTTTGTAGAATATATAACAAGTATGTTGTAGTACATACAGAAACCTCTTCCTGAAAATTTTAGCAAACTGTATGTTTCAACATTAAGTGATACATTTTAACTTTTGATAAGGAGTTCTCATTAAATTTGTACATCATAACAAATTAAATGACGTACAAAATATGGCTGGTTTTTCAGTGTGTATTGGAAGCTTGTTCATATGATCATGACTATGGATAAATTATGAAGGAAATGTGACATGTGTGTTATGAAAAAAAAAATGAGTAGTTGTGTAACATATGCATGTGTTGCGATGACAATTTTAAGGTATAAACAAGATTGAATGGTTTAAGAGATTTGAAGTTATTATAAAATCCTTCTTTAGGTGTCAAATGTAAATTGATTGCTCACCTAAGATTCTTATCGTGTGATTCTTTAAGAGTTCCTTGCAAGGGTAGCACCAGTTAAAGGGTCCTAGTGAAAAAAAATATTTCGTCAGGGAGAAAAATCACAATCGTCGGGGAGAAAAATCGCAGTTCATTGAGGAGGCAAAATGTCTACATTTTCATGTTGTTAAACTCTAAAATCGATATTAGATTTAATTTTCTTAAATTATAGCTTATTCTGGCAAATCCTGGCTCTACCACTGGTTCCCTGATGAATACTGAATTATACTCAGTATTGTTAAAATAAAAATAATATTCTTCCATAAATATTCTGATTGAACTTTGACCTTTCAAAGCCTACTTTGACAAGGCATACATCAAAGCCATTCATTGGATGGAACCAAAGATGTTTTCATTTTAACAGGCTTAGAGGATGAATGCATGCTCTAGATGTATTATTATGTGACCTCACGAAGGAAGCATTAGCTCAAAATAATGTGGCCAGGAAATCAATTTGGA